CGGTGCCTGCACGGGCGCTTCCGAAGCCGGTTCTGGGCAGCGTCGATGACGGGGGAAGCGGTTCCCTTGAGAAACGAGGTCGAGGGGCTGTGTCCCGACCCGCCTCTCGCAGATGCCCACGCACATCTGGAGGCTGTGCTGGCCGGGCTGCCTGCCTCCCTCTGCATCCCCCACACTTACTTGATCAGGGCCCCCCGTTTCCCAACGAAAACGCCAATCAAAACCCAAAAAATAACCGGGCCGAAACGTTTTTAGGGAAATGTGCTGCTTTTTCCACTTTTAAATAAAATTTCGGTTGTTATGTCACCATCTGTTTCTAGTTTTCTTAGATTTTTTAAAACAAGGCGATACCCTGTCAGGGGCTATGGCGCTGGTCACCCCCTTGCCCTGCCCACGCCCTCAGCAAGTGGGCGCTTCTGGGGCCTCCTTCTCAGCCACCCTGCAGTCAGCAAGCTCCCGGGGTACACGGCTCTCGCCCGCCTGTTTCCAGAGATCCCTGCAGGGCTCCAGACCCGCATCCGCCTCTTCCCGGCCGCCCAGGCTGGGATGGCGCCAGGCACCTCAAGCTCAGCATGTCTCCTCTGAACTCCTCAGCCCTCCCCACGCCAGCTTCTCCTCCTGTGTCCCCATCTCAGGGGTCAGCATCACCATCTACCTGGCTGAGTGTTCCTCTGCCTTCACCCGCCTCTCAGTTTGGCGTCTTCTGTCCTCCTTTCTCCATCCCTAGAGCCACGGGCCCAGTCCAGCCTCCATCATCCTCCCTTTGGTGGCGCTGGCATCCTCCTAAGCCACTGCTCCCACCTGCCAGCTCCGCACAAGGAGGCCAGGGATCGTCTTAGAAATGCAAATCACGCCATGCCGCTCTCTGTTGAAACTGCCCTCCCAGGCAAGCGAAACTCCCTGGCAGGAGGTGCAGGAGACCTGTTCCTTGGGAGCTGCTCCTCCTGGCTTCTTTGGCATCAGGTGTGCTGTTCCACCCTGTGTTCTTCCCTGCAGCCTCGTCTGCCCTCTCTCCCCTCCCAGCCTTGCACGTGGGGCAACCCTAGGCCGGTGCGTCACTGGAACACACCTTCAGTTCTCATGAAACGCCACTTCCTCCAGCCACTTGCCCTGACCTTGTAAGCAAAGCTGGGCTGCCCGGCAGCAGCTCCTTTGTGCCCCTGGGCCACCCCCGTTACAACTGTCGTCTGTCTGCGCCTCCCCTGAGGGCAGCGACCATGTCAGCGAGGATTCCCAGCACGGCACTTCCCACACAGAAGCCCTTCAAAAAGGATTCGTCAGACGACGAGTTCTGTCATTTGGAAACTGATGGGATGAATTCTATGAATAGGTCTCTGGATATTAAACAATCTCCACATTCCTAGGATAAGCCCTATTTGATCATGGTGGAAGTTTCTCTTTATGCATTATTCAATTAAATCCCAATGCCTTAGGATTTTTACCTCTATTTTTAGAAGGGAGACATTCTGTACTTTGTCTTGGACATGCAGCCTTTGGCAGCTTAGGGTTTAAGGGTCACACTGACTACAAAAAATGAATTGGGTAGACTTCAGAATATGTGAGTTTACAGAGTATTGTATTATCTCTGCTTACTAATTCCTTGCAAACGAATAAGAACACTCTGGGCAAAAGTAGATTATCTGACTGTATTTGGAGGTAATTTTAGGATAACTTTGGAAAAGGTGAAGAAGTCGAGTTCCTTCCATGATTATGGGACTTACGCCGTGTTCTACATATTTTGGAGTCAGCTTTGAAATATTCACCTTTCCCCAGCAAATCCTCAATTTCCCCAGGATTTCCAGGTCCCTGACACAGAGATCCTCAAATTGTCACCTTCAGGGTTTGACTCTCTTTTGCAAATGTTCTGACTGTGGTCAAACGGTCCTTCTACCTACCTGCGGCAGTTAAGGAAAAAGAGAAAAAGAAAAAGAACTGGCGCAGCGTAGGGACAATTTAGCACAGAGCTGCCAAGGAGCAGTTAATAAAGGAGGCTTCGTTTCATTAAGTATCGAGACTGGGAAGGGGACAGACACTTTTTAGGCCAAATAAGACCCAAAGCTGTGCCAGCCCTGGTAAGAAACCAACCCCACACAATTTCCGAATTTTTCTTTTTAACCAATCTGGGAGCCACTGGGGGCAAAGGCCAGCTGCCATCGGCGCCTGGACCAGTCACTCTGATGGGCTTTTCTCCCCTTTCTACCTCCAGGCCCAGAAGTTTCCCACTTTTGGAAACTTCCAAAAGGGGACGTGACTGTGCCCATCCCTCAGGCCAAAGGCCTGAACTTCCTAAGACACCAAAGGATCCTGGCCAGGAACAGAAGGACCTGGCCTGGGGAGGGAGAGGACCAGAGAGAGGACTGGAGAGAGGAAAGGAGAGGAACAATGCTGAGGAGACACTTCAGTGGAGTGGGGAGAGTCGCATAGACCCCTGCCTGTGTATGGAGCACTGGAACCAGATTGCTGGGCTGGGGCCACCCCCAGCCCCTGTGTCTGTGTAGTCCAAAGGCCACCACCACAAACGGGGGATGGAGGCTCGGTGGGCCTCTCCCAGCTCTTCTAGCTGTATCCACCTGCAGAGGGGCCCTGTGCCTTCCCTCCTCCACCAGCCACCACTGCGTGTCCCAGCTGGCCGGCTGTGAAATCTTCCAACTGCTTGCTAGGATGGCCCTGAGTTCTTTCTCCTCTGCATCTTTGTGTAGGTTACATTATA